TGGAACTGATTCAGTAAAAACAGGTCAGGTCACTATGAGCTGCCCCAAGCCCTGCATGAGTGCCAGCTCCCAGCCACGTTAGCATTCCAGCTGAATCTGTTTGAACGTGAGTCCTTGGAGCAGGATGACACACAAGCAAGGCTGAGCCAGGCATTGGGATGAAGGAGAATGGAAGAAGAAATTAACATTTAGAAAAATGACCATTTTGGGAAGTGCTTGAAACTGACACTAAACAAGAAAATAAAATTAAACCAGCAGGTAGGTTTTCTACTCACTGACCTTGGGTTGAGGCTCAAGATAGTGGTTGGAAAGACCTATGAATGCAAAAAAAGAGGTGTGGAATCAGCCTGGTTTGTGCTTTAAATCACAATGTAGAAATATGGAGATGCTCATGCTATGGCTAATCATATCCAAAGAAGTCTTTTGCTAGCCCAAAGTAATACACAGTGAAGCTGGGCAGGTGAGGTTAAAATATCCACTTGCCAATTATTTGCTGTGAATATTTGCTGAATAATAGGTCTGTTGTGTTATTCATGTTGTTATAAACATCTTAGAAGGCAAAAATTATTTAGAAGAAATGTCAAAAAAAGAGCCTGTCTCTCTGTAACACTGACAAGCATGTCTTTGCCCTTCTCCACAGCTCCTCCAGCAATCAGTGGAACTATTAATTAACCTGAGGCAGTCCCTGGCCTATTGCAAGCATGGCAAGATCCATGCAAGAGGGCAGATATGAAGGAAGATACAGGACTCACATTCCAGCAAAGATGTCTACAGAGGGATGTGCTTCCCTCTAGGGAGCCATCAGGTCCCACTGGCACTGCTGCCTTCTAAAATGGATGTTCTTCAGCCTGCATCACTCATCCATAGGACACAGCTCTTTTCATACCATCTTCCCCACACAGGGCTGAGGTTCCTATGGAAATACTGCCTGTCTGTCTGTCTGCCAGTGGTCCTACCTATGCCTGTGGTGGGTGCTGAGTCTCAGGTGAGCTACAGGCCACCGTATTAAATGCACTCCCATACCAGTGGTGAGCAATCACAGCACACCAGTTTGGACAACCATGTGTTCTCACTGAGCCCTGTTGCACTGTGCAGTAATTATAAAGTCATGAGTCCTATTTAAATATAGGGCATTCTGTCCTAAACCTTTGAGTGCCCGTGGGTGTGAGTAGGCTCATTCTCCAAGGATGTTCTCTGGTCTGTATACATGCACCAGCTTCATCAAAAGGATGTAGGAAATGCCAGATCCAGATATATAGATTCCACTTTAAAAAAAAAAAAAAAAAAAAAAAAAAAAAAAAAAAAAAAAAAAAGAAGCAGTCCAGGGATGGCAAAAATTAATAGTAATGAGCTAATTACTATACCAGCTGCCTACAAAGAGGGGTCCTGTAGGCAGACTCCTTCTGCTCATTTGCCTGCTGGTTAAACCACCACTCCAGAAATTATAAAACAAAACTTTTTTCCCTTTATAAACATCTATCAGCATCACCTTAATATGGCCCACAGCACCAACACTGCCTAGCTTTTAAGTTCTCAGAATGCAGCCAGAATCTCCCCTAGCACATTATAACACATTTTACTGGTTTGAGCAGGGTAGAACGCAGCCATCTCCTCAAATGAATGGCTGGTGAGCTCCAGCAGCCCCTGCACGAGGCTGGGCTCACCATCTGTGTTCCTGCACACGTCCGAAGCCCGTTCACAAGTGCCAGCCCTTTGAACAGCCAGCCTGTTTTTCTGATTGATTCACTTTTTAATGAACTGGGAATGCCTGTGAACTTAAACCCTGACACCTCCACCTCCCTGCCTTCCTAGCCATCCCTGCAGCAATGTACTGATTATATTTCAAGTTATTATGGGATTAATACAGCTGCCCCCAGTGTCTCTTTCCCCTGAACTCCATCAATAAAAGTTGTGTCCTAGTCTTACTCTGGTTAGTTCAGTTTCTTCCTGAATCTCTCCCTGTAACCTGTGGTGTGTCAGCAAGGCTGTCTCGTATCAGCCCTTCAAAGCTGCCAACACTGCTGGTGTTTAAAACCTACTTGTGTCACGGCCTTGCATAAGCTTTGTGTATTTAAGAGGACATCTTGAGCTTTGCTATGCACCACATCAGCTCTCTAAGTGGGTAGCACATACTTAGTAGTATTGAAAATAATGAAATAAGATAATCCACCAAAAAACTTGAATAGATTGTGCCAGTGTCAACTTTCTTTGAATACACAGTAGAGCTATAAAAAAGTACTTTATGCAGGCAAGTCAGCACAAGAGAAAAAATAAGATGGGGGGAGCAAAAGGCCTGTGCGCAGCAGAGTAAGGTTTTTCACTGACAGCATTTCTTTATACAGTACAAGTTTTAGGTTTACTTTTCTTGTTTGTTTATAGGTTGGGGGTTCCCCCACCCCCCCAGAAATATTAGTTTTTAAAAACATCATTAAAAATGTAATTAACTGGCTTATTCTTTGGAATGTGTACAGCTGTTTACAAAAGAATTGCCACACAAGCTGCCACCTTTGACTGTGTTGAAGCAGGGAGTGATGTACTTGTTTACAGCTGTGCATCAATTTCACAATATATTTAGTTTTGGTACAAGTTACATATAAAATTCTTACTGAGTTTAATGTTGCAGCAAATAACACATACAGTAAGTGAGTAGGATTTATCACTGGCTGTAATGTCGTTGTACATATTCAAAATATATATGGTAAATGATATATACACATGCACATGCAAACAAAATGGAAATATATTTAGTTTAAGAACTGATGAATTGTGCTTGCTTTCATTATTCTCATCTTGTACATAGGAGAACAGAGATCAAGCACATCCATGCAAAGGGTGGCTGGTTGGGATCACATCTGTGAAGCAGCACAGTCACCAAGGAGCAGGTTGGAGAAGAAACAGCACTTTTGTACCCGTGGCATGAGACAGGGGGGCCCTCAGGAGTCAGAAACCCGCTGTGGTTGGTGGGATATAAACAAACCCCATGGAGAACCAAGATGCTCCCACAAAGCATAAAATATCTCTCCAGGTAAAAAATCTTCCCCCAAGATGTTTTATTCAAGCTTTTTTCTTAAAGAAGGAAGTGGTAATTTTCACCTTTAAATTCTGTTTTCTTTCTCTCCCCCCTGTTTGGTCTCTCCCATAAACACAGAGGCCAGAAGGCTATGCTTAAATAATTCATCTACAAATTTGCAATATCTTTTTGAACTATAGCAATTAAACGGAAAATAGAAAAATCAGCTCAGCATCCTGTTTGGATGTAATTAAAGGTATAATCTGTTCCATTTGAATACTTCAGTGCTTACCCTTCTTAAAACAACAAATAAGAATAGTAGCTCATTTGCAATATGCTTTTTTTTTCAAGTCAGCTAAAAAGACTAACTGATGAAGCAAGAATAATAATTTTTAAATGTGGCATAAGCACAAAAATACCAACTACAGCTTTCAAATGATTGCTGCAGATCTCAAGTGCGATGAGAGTTAAGTAACAAGGGTATAAGCTTTATGGCAAAACATGAAGTCTTCCACTGTTTGGTATCAGCATCTTGCTATGGCTGATATAATTACCTATCAAATACATCAGTAGAATGAATATCAGGCAATATCCAAAAATATGTAAGTGGGATGCATATCAGCTCAGTCTTTTAGGGGCCGTTTGATCTTAACGTTTTTTTCTAAGAATAAAAGACAAATACTGCATTCGTTGGCCCTTTGTTTTCTACAAGCAACTGAAGATTTTACAGAACAATAAAGTTAGCCTATTAATGGCTGGCTTATGAGTTTTAGCTGGATTTTTACCCTCCTACTGGACATTTCTTCACTGCTCAAAGAAATTGAAGTCAGGTGTAAAGTTAATATCTGCCTTGTTCATTTATTCATACTGTAAGCAATCAAGATTTCCCCAAATCACAGGGCAATCTCTTGCCTGTTGAGAATTAATATAGGCCCCGTTCTCTGTAGTTTAACAAAACAACTGGCATAGGTTCAATGGAAGCAATGATTATTCTGAGAAGTTATGGTAGACCACAGAAGTTGTTAGTGAGAACCTTGCTCATAAGATCCCCTAAGAGGAAAAGTATATGGGTATTTCAAAATGTAATTAACAGCATATTCCAACAATGTGAGAAAGAAACATCATCTGGTTTAGCTGCAGAGGAATCTGACTGCACAGGGAGAGCTTTGGCTTGTTCAGCAGCCACCACTAGGAGCAAAGGACATGATGGGCAGCAGAGGGGACCCCTCACCAGAGCTGGGAAAGGTGGCAGGGCAGCTCTGGCTGTGGGGGCTCCTTTCATGCTGCCCATCTCACTGTGCCTGGCAGCACGGTGCCCTCCTCATGGGCAGCTTCACTGGGGCCAGCACCCAACCAGGAAGAACAACCTTTTTTAAAAGTTTCGTTTTCTCTCCACTATACTCGCTCAAAAAAAATTATTTTGGGGCAGGCATGTCTCCTGCCTAACTTTGGCCTTAATGCTACAGTTTGTAGGACTGTTCTAAGAATATTGTTGAGGGTTTTTGTTTTGATTTTGGTTTTTTAAAGGTAAATACATAGCAGCAAATAAAAGCAATTCTAAAAAGCAAAACATTATCTTTTTTAAACATTTTGATAATTTAAAAAAAAAGCAATTTTCAAGCTTTAGCATTTGTAGGCTCAGGTGAATAATGTAGCAGAGAACTGATTTAAGAAGATAAAATGATCACAAAAATGTAAGAGCAATATTACACACAGGAACAAAATAGAAAAATTGTCTACAAGGTCTCCAATATGACAGTGAATATGAGAGAACTTTTCAGCTTACATTTGCTGAAAGTAAGCACCTATTAAAATTTTCTGCTTTCCTGGGGTGCATGCTCTGCTGTTTGAAAGCCGAGGCCCTTTTCAGGACCTCAGGGGCCTGAGCCCCCTCAGAGCCTTCCTCAATACAGCCCTTCTTCAGGGGCCTGCAGTGCACAAGCTACAGGTGAGTGGGGTAAAAAAGCCTCTGCTGAGCCACCCCCAACTACCCCTTTTTGTCCTATTGCCTCCCCCTCTGAACTATGCAGCCTCCTGCACACTTTTCTGTGAGCTTAATGCTAGAACTACTGTGAAAAGAAACACAACAACAGAACTCATTAAAAAATACCCACAGAGGAAGGAAAAAAAAATTCCTCAACACAGTAGCTCTGTCTGCAGTAAACAGGGCTCTTTTCAGGCCTTGGGCTCAGACATAAGACCACTCTACCAGGGTGAATGAATTACTGTCAGCTGGGCCATTTTCACTTAGGTCTAAACACAGGCATTTTACCTGCCATTTGCCAGGAGCCAAGAGCTGCTCAGGTGGCATTTGTTATCCATGTGCCACATGACCAGCAAACCTGCAGCAGTTTCCCCAGGAGCAATCCCCCACCCCATGGGTCACACTGCAGGACCCCAGCCTTCACCCCCACAAGGAACATCTCTCAGAGATGAGAACCAGTGCCTAAATGAAGCAATGCTTATCTCATGCATGCCACAGGTGTGATGTCATCCCCTCTGGCACAGGAACCAGGATGTCTACAGCCTCCACTATACAAAAATGCAGGAACTAAAGTCAACGTGTCTCAGATTTTGTTATAATATGGTGATAATTAAAAAACAAAATTACCACTACAAAGTTAATTCCTCTCTGAGTTCTTACAAACAAGTTTTTAATTTGCACCAAAAATTTACATTTCAGATTTCAAGTCAACCAGGAATGGTACAAGCTTGGTCAGGGACTCCAGGCTGGTGAGTTCTGCAAGGCCTAGGGGCAGGAGCACTGTGGCTTCCCCAGAGTATCACAAACATACAGTTGCCAGCAAACCCCAGGTGCACACAGGTAAGCCCATCAGATTGCTTTAATCTTTCATCCCTTGTATGAGCGTGAAAATAATCACCGTGTCAGATAAACTTCTGCTTTTTATTAAAAAAAAAAAACAACAAAACAAACCTGTAAGGTAATTGATTGCTTTCTTCTAGTCTTTTATTAGTTATGATTAAGGAGCTATAGTAGTCCTGTTTACACAGCTCTAACAAGTCAGGACCTGCAGAACGTTATTGGCTTGGGGCCCACAACTTGCTGTCCATTCTCAACAGAATCAATCTGGAGCTGAAAACATCCCCGTAGGAAGCGTACACATCTCTGCTTATACAGGAACAGAAACAGCAATAACTTCAGGTCCTGTAAGCTGCAAGTTCAACTTACAGAGATGAGCCCTGACTTGTCATCGCTCTCAGCATGTTGGTGATGAGATCAGAGCCCTTCACCAAGGACTCATACTTCCAGCTTGACAAGGGACAGAGGTGGGCATGTTACACCTCACTGTTACTCACCTCTCCAACTGCAGCAAGGAATCGAGAGCTCCTCTGTCTAACATGCAGTCACAGCACTGCCAATCTAAAATGGCCGATCAGTAATACTTTAATTGCAGTTTCATAGAAACAAATTGCTATTTAATTGCAACAAGCTTGTCTGTGGTTTAGCTGGACTGACAATAGGCATACACCTGGTAGTAACAGTAACAAGCAGCAAGGAGGGTTATCTGGTACTGCATGTACAGAAGTCTCAGGCAGTGCCATCAAACCCAGAACACAATTTCACACTAATTAAATGTAATACCTGAAAAAAATGTATATACATAAATTTCCTAATCTCAATTTGATTTTTTATTGTAATAGAGCTGTTCAGAATAGATACTTGCAAAAAGCTGCACACTTCACATACAACTACCAGCAAAATACTTTGACAAAAGATTTAAATTGAAATGATCTTTTGAAATCACAGAATCATGTTGGAAAAGACCTCCGAGATCATAGAGTTAAACTGAACACCATCATGTCAACCAGACTGTGGCACTCAGTGCCACGTCCAGTCTTTCCTTAAATACCTCCAGAATCAGTGACTCCACTGCCTTGATAGCAAGGCACACTCTGCTACTGTGTGAGTTTCGGGGTTTTTTAGTATTTACCCTAAAGTTAGGTAATACAATTTTTATCAGTGTTAACTAACAGGGAAAAAGGAAGACAAACTCAGTGTGGTTAATATTCTGAAGATGTGACTTAATTTCATAGGCTTCATTTTGTTAAGACATTCTCATTTTATATTTCATAAGATACTGCATAACCTGTTAAAATATTTAAAGATAAATCATGTAGGACTGAAAAGACAGTATCTTGTTGCAAACAGAATTTGGTTTGGAAAGGTTTAATGTCCCACTGCCTGCCAGGATGCGTAAATCTCATAACTAGACAGCTGGATAGGTAAAAACATTAAACCCATTTAGAGGGCAATCTTTTTACAAAATTGTTTCATTAATAAGAGTGACAATTTATATGATTGAGATGTTTAGATGCAGTATAGACAGAGCATTTTATCCAGGTTCATGAGGATGATTTCAGATTAGTAATATTTCCTTTGATTCTTTTTTTAACAGCATTCAGTTTTGAAAGGGAAGCTCTTACTGAATGATTATTTGACTTTTCAGCAGCACTAAATGCAGAACTTGTATTTCAGCCTCAGTTCAGCAAATACATGTGATAAAAGGTGAACAAGTATGTTTTTCTTTACAGAGCTCCTTAAAAAAAGGTGATTTTTCACATAAGGACAAATCTAAGTGTTTCCAGTAGCCTTCTGCCCACACCTACCATCCCCATTACAGCCTGTTTCATTGTGTGAAATGCCTCTGGTTTCAAGAAAGTGTTTTACCTAAAGCAAGAATACTACTGAAATATGTTCTATTGTATATTCATAGCTCCATTAGTCCTCCTGCAATTTAGCACATCAAAGCAAAGGCTTCATCACTTGCATGTGGATTATGCTAACATGAGTGACATTTGTAATCTTATAGGTCTGCAACTTAAGAAATGCTTTTAAAGTAAGCTATTAAATAGGTAGCTGTGCTTTACAAATGAGTCATATAATAGTTTATTTAAAGCTGTTAATGAACTTCAACCTCTACATCACTAAATGCTATACTACATTTCTTACTAGAAGTTATTAGCCATCTTCTTAGCACTTCTAGGTTATATTGGACAACCAAAAATCTGTACATGTTAAATTTAAACACTGTACCTTGAGTGCTTATACTAAAAGAATATAAAAAGATGTCTACAGTTTCACTAATACTTGAATTCTATATTCATATGACTTCAAGTGTCTCTTCAAAGATACTGAAGCAGCACAATTTGTAGGACTCTGAAGACTTTAATGCCAGATCAAAAAGCTTAGAAACTTATTTAAAATACCCACAAAGTGCATTTAATTAAAAGTGATACATAGTGTCAGCCATTTATGTTGTGCTTTATATGTTATGCAAGTAGATTTTTGTCTTTACTGTCTTTTCTCTGAAACTGGGCTTCCTCAAGCACTGGCATGGTAGAAGAAAAAATTCAGCAGCCCTCCAATATACTAGACATCATGAAGTAGAATCTGAAACAAAAGTATCTGCTGTTGGATGTTTAGACAGGTAAGTCTATAAATCAGCTTTTTGTGTTATTGGCATCACAACAAAAATAAGTCAAGCTCACTCCATGACCAAGCAACTGAGCAGTGAACACCTTCCAAAAAACAGAATTAAACAAAATATTGGTGTGTTATGAATGTATTCGTTTCCTATAAAAGTAGATTATTTCTTAATATTGATTTGCTTTGGCAAAGGCAATCAGCGAGGAATCAGCAAAGACAGATTCGTTGCTTGCAGGTTCCTAACTGAGGGCTTCCTTGGCAGCCACAGATCCATGTTACTATTCTTGCTAAAAACATGAAAAGTCAGATTTTTTTTTTCTCAAAAGTGTTCTGCACAGATCTACCACTGATGGGAAGCTGATGGGAAAAACATGCAAAATGAAGCTGTTCCCTTTGTAAGCTTAGAAGCAGCTCTGTTGCTTTGTGGGGAGGCGCTTTTTGTTTGTTTGCTTTCAGAAAACAGATCATATTTTGAGATCAGCTAGTTCTCAGAAGCAGCCTAGGAAACAGGTTTTTCTTTCCTTAAGATTATCAGTGTTGAAAAGTTAAAGTCTCTCACCCCAGCAAACACAACTTTATGTTGTTCAGATCAGAATAGCTATTGTATTCCTTTTCATGAATACTCAATTCTAGTGCTCAGCATGAGGTACAGACCTTTCATTGGCTTTTATTTTTTTGACCTCTTATGGTATATTCATACCCTCTTATGCTTGCATGCTCAGAGACACAGGCACATCCTTAAAACAGAAGGACCTGGAAAGAAAGAGACCACAGTACCTCTGTGTGTGCTGTAATTCACTGCAATGGGAATTATCATGTACTTGTTATTACCAGAATTAAGACTCTCCATGAAAAAAAAATTTTTTTGAAGTTGTACTTGTTATCCTTGCCACAAGTAACATGGTCAAGAAGTTTAGCCGAGTCTTTCTTGGCATAAGACAAAAGAAAAAATCCAAACCAAAAATCTACTTTTAAAGGTAATTGACAATTAAGGTAACGACTATGTAAGATGAAGTTGCAGAATGTTTTGAATGCAATTAAAAAAAAAAAAAAAAAAGGCAAAGCTTCTAAAACCCATACTCTGTTTTGTTTTACTTTTTATTATTTAAATACACCATACTAGAGCAAATGTCTCTGAAAATATCACAAATAAAAGATTTTTCTTCATTCAGCAAATTAGAAGTAGGTGAAAATTTCTACACAGTAGCTGCTAGGAGCCTGACTTTTTTTTTTTTTTTCTTTTTTTTTTTGCCATGGGAAGTAGCAACATTAGGACAAAAACACTTACATGCATACATACATTGTATTTTACAGAGATACAATAAAAGTGTTTGTGATAGAATATCACAAAAGCCACATCTTTATCTCATGTTCAGTTTGATTGAAACACATTTCCTTACAACACTTAAATATACAAAGAGCAAATAGAATGTTGTTAAGGTAAAACACAGGGTACAAACTGGCCAGTGCCCTGCTAATTGTTAATGAGGGTAGAAAGCAGATTTCAATGCTTCTTTTAATTAGCTTCATTAGTCATATTCCCCACCCACCCCCCCCAAGATGTCCTCCGGTGGATCTTTTTTCATTTTCTCTACAGTCTCCCATTAGCCCAGGTTCATGGAGTCCTTAATGTTCATATTCAGTCATTTTAATACACCAATAAATGTGGGAAGGGCAATCAAGAATAAAGAAGGTGCAATGGTATGGAGCTGGCATTGATGCTAGCTACAAAGGTGACTTGTCTACTTGGAGACATGGGATCCATCTGTGATGAACAAAATTTGAGATGAAGGCACGCATTCTGCATTACTCTGACCTTTTAGCAGACCTGTAAGAAATAAAAATGGGTATCTTAGCTAAATTTGAGATACATGACTGCTTTTGTTTTTCCCTATTCACTAATCTCTTTTTTATTAGACTACTTTCTAACTGTGACTTGATTAAGGCTTTCTACACTGTCCATTCATACTGCTAACGTTTCAACTTTAAACAGCAGAAAGCAAACATTTTTCACAGTTTCAATACTAAAGAAAGCAGACATGAAAAAAAGACTACAACAAGAAATGCGTACTTTCTGGTAACAAATCATACAGTGAATAAGGTGGATTTTCTGGGCCCTGTTTGAAAGGGAAGAACCATTATGCCATGCCTTTGAAGAAGCGAGTAATATGATCTTGTAATTGGAAGGAACAGTCTGTAAAGCAAATATGAAGTACAGCCAATATCCTCCCAAGGCAACTTTGGTTAATATGCTGCATTGCACAAGAGCTAAATATAGATATTTCAGGATTCCCCCCCTCCCATTTAAATTCCTCATCTGGTTAGTTAATGTTACATAAACATTTTAATATATGAAGTCAAACATGCTCTCATATGGGTGTTAATGAATTGTCATAATTAAAAGTGTCTAACTCAATAAAAATCTAAACTTTCATGGATTATATGGAATGCTCATCCATAGTCTTCAAATGCAATCTGTTTGCAATTACCAAAATGAAATAATATATATTAGATTTTTATGGCTTTTAAATGACATTTTGTGCTTCCCAGGAAGTTCTTTTCTCACCCTTTCTCTAAGTTACTAAAAGCCTGAGGTCTATTAGTAACTGCAACCCCCCACTTTCAAGCTAATTAAAGTAGTAGAAGCTTGGAGGTTTAATTCCCCAGAGCCGAAGCTCAGTGTGAGAAAGGTAATTTGTCTGTCCAGAACAAAGATTAGGGAGCAGCCAGCAAGCATATTTAATAAATGAGCATCAAATATCTTCTACTATGGACACAGACAACACCAATTATGTAACTACAAGGGAATTGTTGAGTGATATGTAAACTAGAAGATTTTTAAGATCTTCTCTAAGAGATGTAATGTAACTCATACTTTATTTAAAAGTATAGAAGGCGAAGACAAACATTTGTTACAAACACTGCCAACCAGTGGAAAACGTACACTTTCAGTAGGTGGTAATGCTGCTGCAAACAAGAAATACTACAGGAATACTACCAATACAAAAAAAGCAGAGAGAATTCTTGACAATACAGCCCCTTCAAATGAAATGGCACACAGGACATCACAAACTAAGTTTGCACTCGGCAGGCAAGCAGTACTGAGTTTAGAGAAAACAGGGTTTTTAAACTACAGGGAAGTGATGGGAAGTTATAATTTACATGTGTGAATTGCCTCAGGGAGGCAAAAGGCAGGAATGGCAAACATCCCTGCCTTTGTCTCCTTAAAAAAACCTCCAAGTTTTTAAACCAAAATCGGCCATGCAGCCTTTCCTGGCTGCACTGGTCACCTGTAAACTGCAGTGAGACAAGAGTAAGTTCATCACTGTCACCTTCATATGCGTAACAAAATGTGCTTTAATGCTGGGAGTGTCTCAATCTCTTTGGTTAAATAAAAAAAAAAAAACAAACACAAACCCTGTGGATATTCTGCTATCTCTGTAATCTCTAGTGATAGAATAACATGGAAAATGATTGATCTGTAATGTTTAATAAAAGGTATCTGTTACAGCCAACTGTGTTACAGTGGAAGAATATTTTTAATCAGTGGCCCTAAAGCATGCAGCTTCTGGGAAAACATCTCTGATGTTAAAATCTTTACACTGTTAAAAAAGCAAAATATAAAACTATTAAAAAATATAAAATATAAAAAATATATGAAAATATATGTAACACTCTTAGCAACTGTCCCTGTAGCTTCCACAGTTCCAGAAACCTGACAAATACATGAATTATCAACTTATCTCTTTAACTGTGTTTGTTATGGTGCTCTGCAATTCCCTTAGAAAAACAGTAGGAGAAGTTAGAACAATTTCTAGAGATACTGTATTATAAAGAAAAAAACCTCTCAAACTTGTGTCCCCTCAACTTCTCCCCAACAGCTGCTCATGTGCCTCAGCCCTGGCTGCAGCAATGCCACTACCAGTCAGTGACAGGAGCCAGCAACACTCTTGCATTTAGCTCCCACCAGGTACCTACAGTCACGAGCTCTGCAAGCCCAGCCCCGTTTTACTTCTCTTTTCCATGTTCTATGTTCCTCATCATGTCTGCTGCTTTTATTGCAACTAAATCATTTTTATGTTTTGCTAAGGCAGAGAAAGAAACTGATAAAACTAAATGACAATTTAGACACCTATTTGAAGTTACATTAAACTTTACATTCGTAGAAGACAAGTGGATAAACCACTCTCAGAATGGTAAACCTTTTACTGCAGTGTATGAAGATGAATGGTTTTACCTATATTTTAAAACGGGATACCTATAAATATTCATTTAACTGAATCACTGCTAGCTAGTCTATATTACAGATTTGTTTCATTAAAATTCACAACAGTATAAATCTATGAATCTTTAACTGTATTTGTACTTCCTTGAGAAGAGGCTGCACATTCTCTTCCAATCTTAATTATCTTTGTTCTGCCTAACTATGTAGCATTTTTGTACTCAATTCTCTCATCACCTCAATTGACAAATTAAGTAAATAAAAAAGGTCCATGCTTTATTTTGATGTAATTACATTCACTGTATAAGACTTGAAAGAATACTTAAAATTAATCAGTAAATTTATGCACAGGAAAAAAAAAGCAAACACAGATATTGAAATGTAGCAATACAACCAGAAAAAAAAAAAAAAAGTAAAATAAAGAACAGTTTCTGTTTTCTCGGACATAGTTCTCCACTGACTAAAAGCACTACAAAATACACTGCACACTACAGAATAGATCAGCCTAGCATTTGTCCCAGATTTTATTTTAATCTTCCGAATTCCTACTTGCAGATAGATGTTATTTTTTGTGATCCTTACAGACATTAATGAAGTTCCTATTGTAAATCTATAAAGAATTACCAACTGAAGTGTGCACTTTTTGTTTCATTGCAATAACTCAGTGCTGTGTGATTGCCTGGGTTAATGATGAAAAAGTCAAATATACTATCAGAGCTGATGGAAAAATCTATCACCAATCTGAAATTAAAATTCATCTGTGGTCAATAAGATTTAATATCCATGCAAGTGGCGCTGTAAAGAGTAAATGAATCAATGTCATCAATACATAATCAGTATGAAATATGATGTGAATAAAATTATGTGCAAGAGTCATACATCCACTCTTTTCTGGACCAGGGTGGAATGAACAGTCTCTTAACTCAAGGTTGACAGTAATTGTTACAAATTAGGCACAGCAGTTATCAAAATGCACTCACTTGCATAGCTTTAGGACTGATTAAGAAGATTAAAATACATCTAAAACTATCTAGTTTCAGAGTTACAAGACAACTGTTGATCAGAATTTTTTTTCTTTTTCTTCACTCTATGATCTGTACAATCATTATTTACTCATTTAGCTAGAAACCAAAACTATCAACCACAGAGCTACAGAATCTCTAGTTGAGAGAGAAGTTAGTGTCACGGAACAGTACGTAAATAGCACTTTGGTTTTAAAATCTGAGTTATGACACACAAAACAGGCAAGAAAATACTTCTGAAAGAGTACCCCAGCATGCTTCCTCAACTAAAATCTCAATATTTAAATAAAATACATTTAGTCCCGGAACCTTCTCTTCACAAAGCATTTATTTCCATATTAAAGGACCTAGTTTTCCTCCCTCGGAAACCTGCTCTCTTTGTAGCCCTTAATTTCAATATTATAAAATAAAATACTTCTCTTTCTTAAAAGTTTGTATTAATGCATGCTCTCCATTTTGCTTTGTACATAAGGAGTTCAACACCTGTACAGATGCACGTGCCCAAACCAAAATAAACTGACTCACCCTCTATGTCATATTTTAAAGGTTGCTATTTTCTCCCCAAACCCTGTGCCTCGATAACTTAAAGTAAGTTCAGCTACTTAAAGGTCTCTTTGCAGGGGCAGGGAATGTCCACTATTAGCATGAAAAGAAATTGATCTTCATTTAGCTCTAAGAAAGCTTATTAGTAATTGTGGAGTATTCACCTTCTGGTCTGGCAGTAGTGGATTACTCTGAAGTGAATTCAAATGGCCATTGATGAGAGCTGTAGGTCTATCATGTTCACAAAATAAACTGCCATTGATGTAGTGAAACCGATCTCCGGGGACCAGGCGATTCCGGCAGGTAGAGCATGTAAAACACTGGGAAAGGAAAGAGACAGCAATGAAACTACAGCACAAATTAAGTATGCTGCAGGTTTGAAAATTACACTTCAGAGACTGCAAGTGCAGTTGAGATATGGAGCTGCTTGGTTTCTAGTATCTCCAAATATGGCATTAGTCCTATCTGTTGGGACTATGCAGTACATAACTCAAGCAGAATTTTACCGATTACGAGGGAACAAAGCTACGCAATAAGCAAAGCTTTAAAACAGATACTCCTTCTTCTAGTTATTATTTTGCATTTCATTCATAAGCAGATGCAGTTTTACACTAAAGAGGCATGGCAATACTAATCAGCTGCTAAAAACGAAAGTACACAGAAAAACCCCTCACCTTAAGATGATAGACATTGCCCTGTGCCCTCATGACCAGCTCACTAGCAGGAATGGACTGTCCACAGGCACTGCAAGCAC